GTAGTAGTCGTCGTGGCAGTCGCAGTCGCAGTCGCAGTCGCAGTCGCAGTCGCAGTCGCAGTCGCAGTCGCAGTCGCAGTCGCAGTCGCAGTCGCAGTCGCAGTCGCAGTCGCAGTCGCAGTAGTAGTAGTAGTAGTAGTAGTAGTAGTAGTAGTAGTAGTAGTACTAGTAGTAGTAGTAACAATGAGAGTAACAATAATCGTCCGAGCGAAGACCGAGCTTGCGGTCCTTGTTCTCTAGGAGCTTCTTGACTACGTGGGTGCGGTTGGCCCCGATGGCATAGGCGAGGCAGCTGATCCCTGGTGAACTCGGATCGTTTGGGTGCAGAGGCTTCGGGCCCTAAAAGCCTTATAGATCCCTTTAAGGGAACCCTCGTAGATCCCTTTAAAGGAACCCTCATAGATCCCTTGTTCTTGAAAGACCTCAATCCCCAGAACACCAGGACGGCTTGGGGGCGAAGGTCTGCCTAGTGTTCGAACCTCGAAGGCTCTAGCCCGGCTCGCGGCTTAAGGTTTGGGGTTTAGGGTTTGGGGTCTAGGGTTTAGGGCTTAGGGCTTAGGGTTTAGGGCTTAGGGTTTGGGTCTTAGGGTTTTTTTTAGGGCTTAGGGTATGGGGTTTAGGGATGATTTAGGGTTTTTTGGACTTTGAGTTTCGGGCCTGACCTGACCTGAACGAGAACTTGAGGTGTGGGCCATCCCACGTCTTAGAACGCGACCAGCTGGCAACAAGCCTACTCTGCGGATCCATCACGAAGCCTAGGGGTTTGCAAAAGGATTTCTGGCTTGATTCGAACAACTGGCGGAGCCCCGATCGATGCCTTTGGCATCCTTCTCATCGATGTCCCTCTTGTCCTGCAGAAGCTGAGTTGCTGAGAGCGAGAAAGGCAAGAAGGTAGCCGCGGCACTCGAAAAGAAAGGGCAGACCAAAAGTTCGGTGAACACAGTAACACCTTCAAGCAGTCTCTGGAACGATGGGTTTCAGGGCTGTGTTCGGGCTTCAGTCGCAATCGCGTCGCAGAACCCACTCCCGCTGTCTGGGATTCCTTCGGTCAGCCAAAAGCTCAAAGGGCATATATAACTACAGAAAGGAGCTGATCGAACATGGCTTGCCGATGGTCTTTGAACAACCCGAGCACCAGGAAAGCGGTGAACTCAGGTTCCTGAGTCCTGAGTAGTCCCGTTATAATCACGGTTACCCCTTTTCCGACTATTCGGTTTTAATAAGGGGGCCCTAAAATAAAACTGCAAAAGGGTACCACTCAGGAACCTAGTCATGAACTCACGGGACTGCATGCTTTGTTTAGGCAGAGACAGGTGGGCTTTCGCCGAAGATCGAATCGAGTGCTGGTACTTCACGGCAGGAAGCTTTAAAGACCAGCACTTGTGCCTCCGTACATCCGGATTAGGCAGAGGTGGTCTTTAAGAAACACGCTTAGTCTGGGCAAAACTCAGCAAAGCTCCTTGTCAGCGGCTGTCGCTTCCAGGTAGTCCTTCATCAAGATAATCCAGCAGTCTTTGTGACAGGAAACAGCACCGATAAAGATGGGCCTAGGACGCAAGACCACGGCAAGGGCGAGAAGGGCAATGGAAGCAACAGCACCATCGCTGCCATCATCCGCATCGTCATCCGGTGCATCAGCGACACAGATACAGATCGCTGCCTTACGTGAGTTGTGCCTCGGAGCTCGATGCATCATGTGGAAGCTCTCGGTCTCGAAACCTGAAGCCGGCCCAAACTTCGCCGTATCGTCGCGGCTCCTCGAGGGTCTTCATGTCGCCACGGAGGCAAGCCTCCTGCAGGGTGATCGGCTTGCTCTGGATGTCCTCACGCAGGTCGGGTGAAAGCTCGTGGAAAACGGGCTTCTAGACTAGAAGAAGCATACTGAGAAGAAGAGTAACATGATACTACTAAGAGTTCCTAGTATTGTTGCCCGCTTGGGGTTTGATGTGTAGGTAGCCCAGGCCTTGCTATCTCTTCCTTCGCTGCATCAGGCTTGAACTCCCAACTCCTCCTAAAAAAGTATTCGGAGAGAGAGACTCCCAGCTGTCCTTGATCACCGTCGTCACTTCCTCCGGCACGCCACCCATGGCTCTGCCTCGTGACATTGGCCGCGTTCAGAATTGGAAGCTCTAAAGAGTTCGGGCGCTGCAGGCTTTGGGCGTAGAGCTGCAGGGGGTCTTGCAGGGATATCACTGTGAAACGTAGGATGGAAACCTTTCTTCATGGCTCTGGCCCTTTGAACAGTCTTTGCAGTCTCGGTTTCGCCCCTGCGACAGCCCAAAAGGTCCCTCATATTCCGGAACGAAAGGCGCGTCTTGAGCACGAGCCCCTCAACCCTACTTGGAGGATCATGGGAGTTAGTAACTAGGGTTATACATAAGGCAGTTATCGATATATTTAGTTGCAACTCCTTGAGGGATACCAAATCCCATGGTCTCCAAGTAGACCCTATACCCTCAAAGTTTAGAGCTTAACCCGGCCCAGCGGCTGATCTTGAGCATGAGGGGCTCGTTGTGGTAGTGCTGCATGGCGGCTTGGTTCCCCCCGCGCTTGATGTCCTCACCCGGAATCCACGGTTTAGGGTTTAGGGTTTATAGGGTTCTCGGAGCCGGAGCCGAACTCCGACCGAGAGGCCGAAGCTCAGAACCCTGGGCTATAAGAACACGAAGCAGGATCAAAAGCTAACGGTCATCAGTCATAAGTCTTCAGATTCTCGATCGTAAGAACCACAACAACAATGCCAAGAGTTAGCATGATCATGGGAATAGTAGCGCTCAGCAACATTCATCGAAGCGGGAGGCAAGGTCTTGGCATGAATCACTGGGCCGGTCACCCGGACCTGCCTCGAAGATGGCAGCGAGCTCCGGGTTCTTCTCCAAGGCGTTGAACTTGTTCGTCACTACCTTGGCGAATGCTACCAGCTCCAGCTCAGAGCTGCGAAGGGTTTGTGGCATTGACATGCTCGGGCGGTGCGTGACACTCGGGCTCTTGCTTCGGCCATTCAGATTGAATAAACTCTGCAGCATCAGCCGTTGGCAGACCATAATCATAGTGAATATGTGCTTTGGATGTTCAAGAACCCTAAACCCTAAACCAATACCACAACGGCTCTAGGAGGTTCGCTGTACCGTGCCAAGTATATGCCCCACCCACGGCCGCTTGAAACTTAAGCTCAGGGACCCGAATACAGGGGCCTTAATAATTGAGAAGTGTGTTGGGCGGTGTTGGGCTCCTGTATAGTATACTAGTATTTTTGCATTAACTAGGTTTCTATGTTCTCGACGTTGGAGCAGTTGGAAACTGGCGACAGGCCTCGTCGCCGTTGCTGAGACGCGTGTTGTAGTACTCGGTAATCGCCTGAGCAGAACACGCCGTGCTTGAACGGTGAACTCCCAGAAGCTCCTAAAGATTGCTGACCCTTTGAAGCATCTGAACCGGAACATACATCGAAAGCAGAAGCATTATAAAGTTGGACCTTCAGCAGCACGAAAGAGGCGTCAGAGAGCATCAGAGAAAAAAAAAAGAGACCGAGACACTGCAAAGACGCTGCAGAAGACCTACCCTAAACCCCCAAAAACCCCAAACCCTAAACCCTAAACCTTCTCCGCAAAGCGCCCCAGGCGCCTGCGTCTGCATCCACGCGCGGACAGCCTTGGCGTCGCGAGAGAAGGTCTCCATCCTGCCAGAGAGTTGTGTAAAGGGTTCAGGGTTCAGGGTTTCGGGTTTAGGGTTTAGGGTTTAAGGGTTTAGGGTTTAGGGTTTCGGGTTTAGGGTTTAGGGTTTAAGGGTTTGGGGTTTAGGGTTTAAAGGTTTAAGGGTTGAGGGTTAAGGGTTTAAGGGTTTAGGGTTTAGGGTTTAGGGTTTAGGGTTTAGGGTCCGTAACTGCTTGAGGGTTCAGGGTTCAAGGTCAGGGTTAAGAACTGCATTGAAAAGGGTTCAACATTCCAGGCTTAGTGAATCAAGTTGTGGGATGAAGGATACCTGTTCTGAGGCTAGTTCTCTAAAGGAGTGGCGATTTTAGGGTCCCTTTATAAGGGTGTCGTACGATTTTAATTTAAACCCCCAAAAAAAAGACCCTGAACCCTAAACCCTATGCCCTCCTCGCGCTCTCAACCCCTAAACCCGAAACCCCTGAACTAGAGAAATATGATGGGTTCTTTCATGGAGACCTTGAAGTCGGAAGCCCCAAAGCCCTGATGAGCTTCGGCTTGAGGGTTTAGGGCCTCGGCGTTTAGGGCTCCGGGCTTAGGGTTTAGGGTTTCGGGTTTTTGGGGCTGCTGAAACAGGTTCCCACGTGTTGAAGGATGCTGTTGGGGCCTTAAGAATTGAAAATGGGTTCGTTCTGGGGGTTTCTTTTTATAGGTATAGTGCTAAAGTTATAATATACCCCAAACCCTATCCTACTTATTAAAGCCCCTAAACCCGAAACCCTTATAGTAGCCCTTATAGAAGGAACCCGTTAAAGAAACCCCTATAGCCTGTTCTAACAATTGAGGCCCCTCTTTTACCTGTTGCGTGTCTTGTGTGTCTTAGTTTGCCTCTGAGCCTTGGACGCTGCACGTTGTACTCTTTCTGAAACTTCGGGGGCTGCTCCAGAATCACAGAGTCTAGGGTTGTTGGGGATGTTTAGGGTTTAGGGTTTACGGTTTTGGGATGTTTTGGGTTTAGGGTTTAGGTTTTTGGGATGTTTTGGGTTCAGGGTTTAGGGTTTTGGGATGTTTGGGCTTAGGTGAAGGGTTTCGGGTTTAGGGTTTACGGCTTAGCGTTCAGGCTTTTGTCCACAACCCCAGCTTATCCAGCCAGCCAGTGCATGACATGCGTCTCCAAGATGCCCCCTGGATAAATACGCTCGCGTCGAGAGTTGTGCCGTGGATTCTTTGGGATTAGTGCCTTCACAGCTTGGCGTTGGTCAGCGATTGAAGACCGAAAAAAGCGTGTATGGTTTCGGAACTCCCCATTATGATTTCTCTACGCACCTTCATCCCTCCTGAAGACCCCCATTTCCTAACTGTGGTGGGTAGTCGGGCCCTGGTCGGACGCAAAGCCCTCGGTTTAGAGCTTAGGTTTTAGGGCTTGACTTATTGGGGTTTAGGGTTTAATTAGGCAACGGCGGGCCTTCGGGCTTCTTCTGGGTTAGCCTCGAGGTACTTCTTGGTGTCCTGCCACTCCTGTGCGTCGGCTGAAACGGCCAGGGCTTAAAAGGTGGAGGGCTCTGCGCCCTGTTTGGGGGCATGTAGGGTGGGTGAACCTAATCATGCTGATAACTTCCGAGTCGTTGCTTGAATTGGCTTTGTGCGTGTTGTGCCGGCAGCAATACGAGGTTCATGATGTCATTGTCGTCTTGACTGCCATCACCATCACTGTCCGATGCGATCGTCCGCTGTCAGCATCATTCTTCGGCTTGAGTGTCGCAGCTGTTGAGTTCGGCTGGGTGCAGGCTTGAGGTTGTAACCGTTCGTCAATGGCTCGACTTGGAATGTATTTACCAATTCCCATGCTCCTTTAAGTACTTGTGGCTTGGCCAAGGTGCCACGGCTGATTCTGCACTTCGAAAGAAAAAGGAGAGCAGGCCCCTTGAAAAGCATGGGGACTCAATACGACTTACCATCACCATCATCACCCTAAACCCTTAACCCCAAACTAAACCCTAAACCAAACCCTGAGCGCTGACATACTCGCGCAGCTATGCATACTAAAGCACACTTTTGCGGAAAGAATCGGCAGGCGGCGGTAGGTATGTCTCTCTTCGCATCGAACAAAACAAGACGGAAGCAAGAGACTACCTGCCACCCCACCGATTTGGGCGGAGTGGGAGGGTGCGAAAATTCTTCAGCTTCGAGCAAGAACACTGCACACATGCAAGCACTGCTCGTCAAATGTCATTACGTGCACAAGTGCACCACACACCAAACAGCCCCCAATTCTGCCCCTTTTCTCCTTGTCGCCACCCCTAAACTCTATAATCCTGAGCCCCTAAACCCTAAACCCTCTGCCCCTGTTGTCTCCTTGTCGCCCATGCCCGGCGTTCTCGCGATGCGGATGCTCGTGCCATCGCTCAGGTTCAGGAGCTCCTGGAAGCGGGGCATAAGAGTTAAGCTAATGATTCGAATAGTGCTGAAAGTATTAAAAATGATGATGATGATGATGATGATTATAATAACAATCATAAAAGTAAAAAGAAGAGTAATGAGAAGAACAAGAAAAGTCATAATAATGATAATTCTAATCTCCTCCAAGCGGGAGGAGCTGCAAAGCTTGGAGGGGCTGGGACCCCGGGGTCCGCCATTCATTTCAGCGCCTTTATCATTAGAATACGCGTTCTTATGCTTCGGCGGAGGAGGGCATATTTTACCAAAACGATATGAAGGAACCCTCCAAGGAACAATATCGGTCATTAATCCAACCACCAATACATCACCCATATCTCAATCGGGCTCTGTCCCAGGGATACCCGAACGAACGTGTGTTCATGCAAAGCGTACTGACTGCAATGGGCATGTCTTTCTTACCGCGCCTATCATCGGACCCGTAGTCTAAGGCTCCTCCAAAACCAAGGTTCCTCTAGTTAGGCTGCCTTGAAACCCTTACATCTCTGTGCGTCCTTCTCGAGACGGAGGTGTGCCATCGCTTCTTTCTACGCTAGGCCGGGGCCGGATGACGGAAGAGACCAAAACGCGGCTGCAGCGGGGGGATGGCATCGTCGGGTGTAGAGTTCAGGCTTTAACGGTTTGGGGGTGTGAGGGCATGGGGTTTCGGGGTTCAGGGTTGTCGGGGGCTGTGGCTGAAGGCTCGCAAGGTTTGGGCTTCAGGGCTGTCGGCACCAGGCCGGCTGGAGCTTACAAATTCGGCGACGAGTCCAAAGCATCAGATCCCCAAACCCCTGAGCCGAACCCTAAACCCCAAACCCTCAACCCCAAACACCAAACCCTAAACCCCAAAAGATGAACCCTAAAGTTCACACCTATAGACCTGCCCGGCGTCCCAAACGGCACAACCTTGTCGCCTCAATGACGACAGAAGGAACGTTACCAAGTGGCCTAGACCCGATATATATACATATATATACATATATATATATATATATGTGTATATGTATATGTATATATATATATATATATGTATATGAGCTGTATGTATGCATGGATGTATGTATGTACATATGTGGATATGTGTGTATGTAGGTATGTCTGTATTTATGTATGTATGTATGTATGTATGTATGTATGTATGAATGCATGTAGCTATGTCTGTATGTATGTATGTATGTATGTATGTATGTATGTATGTATGTATGTATGTATGTAATTACGTATGTATGTACGCATGTATGTACGTATGTACGTATGTACGTATGTACGTATGTACGTATGTACGTATGTACGTATGTAGGTATGTAGGTATGTATGTACGTATGTACGTATGTACGTATGTACGTATGTACGTATGTAGGTATGTATGTATGTATGTATGTATGTATGTATGCATGCACACACACATACACATGTGCGCAGGTATTTTGTTGGTGCTTCCCGACCCGACCCGACCTTAAGGCCCAAACCAGAAGCCTTTAACCCTTTGGAGCGATAAACCCCTTAACGAAGCGTATTATAGCACGCCTATAGAAGCCTGATAGAGCCGCTTTAAACGCAGAGAGCCCCACGAGAACCCTTACACAAATTTTGTAGGACCTGAACCTGGAATCATAAAAGCCTTGAAAGCCGCCCAAGGGTACCCCAAAATCACGGAGCCGGTAACGGCAAAGACTACGCTACAGCTCTGGCAACTTTTCGCCTTAGGACAGGACCTCATGCTTGTTGTTATCAGACTTCTAGTGTAGCTAATTTCGAAAAGAAACGAAAACTGGTTGTGATTACGACGCCTTGCGGGGGGGGTGAGGAGTTTCAACTCTACAAGAACCCTAAACACATCGTCATAAAGCCTGATGACTGAAGCCCGTATGAAACCCCTATGAGATCTGTTTAACAGCCAACAGCCCTGACAAGACCTTCGTACAGCCAGGACCTCATGAACGTAAGTCTCCTTTGTGGAGCCGGCATCAGCGGGATCGGTGCGGCGGCCGCCAGCATGGTCCCCCGTCCGAAGAAAGATGATGTTTATTGTCAAATACTGAGAAGCCGTCATAGCTTAGACAGATTTTTGGACTGTACCATACCCTAAGCGGGACCATGAGGGGATGTTCTTAATCATTCTTCAGGCCTATTCACTAGTTACTCGTTTGTGTAATGGTGCTTTTTCTGGGGTTTGATTTGGGGGAGAAGCGAATTTTGGCGTCAGGATTCGAGGGTTTAGGGTTTCAGCCTTTCTCGTATTGGGTTTGAGGTTTTTTCCGTTCTGGGTTTCAGGTTTAAGGTATTTAGTGGTTCCAGGTTGTAGGGGATTCGAGGGTTTAAGGAGGAGTTTCGGGTTCAGCTATCCATCCCTGAACCGTTGACAGTAGAAGCAGAAGCCCAAAAGTTGGAAACCCAATAGCCTCAATCCCTAAGAGTAATGTCTAAGCAATCTCAGCACTAATTGTCCTTAATCCGGTTTCCAACTTTTTGAGATTTACCATAACGCCCCGGCAGCTGCCACTGAACGGCACGCTGAATGGCATACCGGCTCGGGCTTCAGCTCGTTGCAGGCTGTGTGTGTTTTTTTTTGCAGGTGCCCCGGCCGTTGAGGACGCGCGAAGAGGGTTTAGGGTTTAGGGTTGAGGGAGGGGCGTGTTGGGGTCATGTGGGGGTTGTTTGAGAGCTTTGTCCCTGGCAAAGAGGGCAAACGAAACGCGGCAGACACTCGAGGCATGATCTGTGTTTCTAGGGTGCTTGGATACACGTAACATCTTCAGATCAGAGGTTATCACAGCTCGACAGGCTAGAACCTGAAGCAGGATGAATGAAGGCGATTCAAGAGAAGTGAGCGGCTAGCGCTCTGTGGTTGTGAACGTGGCTTTTGTGGCAAGGCACCTGCTGTGGCCTCCATTGTCGCCGGTTGCGATCCACCTGCCTCCTGGAGCATTTCCGTTTGGTCTTCGTGCTGTTGCTCTGTTTTACAGAAGTGCCAACTAATTCGCACGAAGTTGCCATACGAAAAACACTCCGACTTCTTGTGCAAATCCCTAGCGGCCCTAACCAGTCATGACCCCAAGAGTTTCAGCTTGTGCGCTTGTGGCAGCCAAGTTGAATATTCCGACTGGGACAGTCACGTCTACGACGACGAGCACGACCTCGACAACAGCTTCCTCTACGACCATTTCCTCGACCTCGAGTTCCTCGACCTCGAGTTCCTCGACCTCGAGCTCCTCGACCTCGAGCTCCTCGTCCTCGAGCTCCTCGACCTCGAGCGTCACGACGACCACAACCTTCACGACGACCTCAACAACCGTCACGACGACCACAACCGTGACGAGTACCACGACGGCCTCGACGACTACCACAACCTTCACGAGTACCACAACGTTTTCAACGACATCCACGACAATTTCCTCCACCACTTCATTGACGAGCACCACGACACTAACAACGACTTCTTCGACGTTTTCCTCCACAACTTCTTCCACGATGACCACAACCTCTTCCACTGTCTCCGAAACGACCAGCACTTCCTCGACAGAAACCCGAACTTTGAGTAAGTTCGATTGCACGAACGACATCATCCCCTTGCAGCTCATCAACCGGCCTGGTGACAATTGTCCAGATGGTTCTGATATTAAGGCCGGGAGCATCGCCAAAAGCAGTGGCCAAATCCTAAACCCAAAGCTTTATGTCCTGAACCCTGGACCCTCCGAACCCTGACCTTTTACATGTCAGAGCACCTTCAAGAGACCCTTCAACCCTCAGCAACTCGACCTCAGCACCGGCACGTACACAGACTTCTGCGCACATTTTGAAACCCAGTGCTGCTCGGAATGATTGGTGGAACGGTTCAGGGTTTAGCGGAGCAGGGAAAGATGTTTGGCAGTCAAAGCTGTCCAGGCTGTTGCACAGGCATGATTGACTGCCGGTGGCTGTTCTAGACCGTGACGGAGGGCTGTTGCGAGGTTGGTTCGTTACAGTACTGAGATTTTTGGGACCGGCTTCAGATGTTGGAGGTCATCTTGCTCCGGGGCGTTGGATTCAGCGATGTGTGAAGCAACCCGGATTGGGTAGTTCTCTGGATTAGAACCCGCTTTTCTGAGCCTTCTCACAGTGAGGCTGTTTAGTATAAGAGTCAGCGAGGCCCTATGTTGGGGATTCAATAAACGGACCCTGATGTAGAGAGCCCTCTACTTTGAACACCTTTTCTTGTGAGTTCCTTTGGGCCTGTACAATGGAAGCAGGCATGTCATGACATCATGAAATAAACGCATGAATACAGCTTTGTCCTCCTCATCGTTTAAATGCCGCGTCGAAACTGTTTGCATGATGAAAGTCGCCACCCTAGGAGCTCACTTCGCTTTCAGCTTGGCCCAAACCCGAAGCCCTAAACGATGCCCTTGGCGGGTCTACGGGGACAGACCCAGAGATTGAACGAAGACATTATGTCAAGGGTATTCCTTTAAGTGTGGTAGGGTTTAGGGTGTCGGGCTCTATTCCCGAAGAAGCGCTTCTTCTTGTGCGTTTACAATCAGGGTTTAGGGTTTAGGGTTGGGACGGCCGGTTAAAAGATGTTCTGCAGCAGAATGACTGGAGGGTGGAGTCGGAATGAGGCCTGGACCGACAGTCATCAGCTCTTCGCTTATGCTGTGTCAGTGCTCCCTTATCCAGCTTCACAGGGGCTTTTAAAGTGGAGCCCAACCAAGATGAGGTTTCAATGCCTGTGGTTTGAACTTCAATGACAACTTCATCTACTGCGCCCTAGTTGGCAGCCAACAGCTCATGCGCCTTGAAGCCTGGGTCGCAAGTGGAAGTGCTTTCTGCTTCGTTTGTTGCTCGCGACCCCAATGCCCCAAGCCTAAAACCAAAAAGCCAAACTTCAATCCCCCACGCAGGTCTAAGACTCTAGACCTCGATAGCTCCTACGCTGGCACCCCAACAGCCGACGACATCGGAAGACCATGTGAAATCCAAAACCGGTTACATAGCATGAAGACGTGCGTGAGTCTTCGTGTACATTTATTTGAAGAGCCTGGTACATGCGTCCTTGCAAGGATTGCAGTCAAGGGACAGCTTGCTTCCTCGGAAGTCTGGGATCGGGCACTTTCTCGGCCAACTTTGATCCGGTGACCGGGGAGCCGCAGCTATATGCAGGTTTAGCGGTTTGGATTTGGGGATGTTAGGTTTTCTGTGTCAGAGATTCAGAGTTGTCATGCGCAGTGTTTCAACAGAATTCCGGTCCCTCTTGTCCTTCTTTGGCACTCTTTAGCCCAGGATGCACCTCACGCTAGCGACGCTAGCTCGTTGCTTGTGGTTTGGGTGCAAATCTTCGGGCGTTGGTACCCCCCTGAATCCTAAGCTTTCAGCCCTAAGAGACTCTACAACCCGAAAGCCCTGATTAACCCCTAAGAAACCCTAAGAAACCCGAAGAAACCCTAAGAAACCCAACAGCCACTCAGGACTACGTGATGACGAACCAGCAACAAATCACCACGGTGGCCAATGTTCAAGACTTGCCATGCCTGGGCACCCCTGGAAACCCCGTGCCTGA